AGATAAAATACTATCAAAAATGTTACAAATGCGTGTTTAACGTTTTGTCTGTAACAAGCGATTTGTGTGTGTGTGTGTCATGAGGATCACAAATGCGGGCTGCGCAATCTGCACGTATAGAGCCATTTGTGTGTGTTTGTGTCATGCTGTTCACAAATGCATGCTGTACAAACTGCACATAAAACACATTTTACAAATGCTTAAAATCGATTTTTCGTGTGCAGTTCTTTAGAAAGTACGTACACATTGTTACCTACGCATGCGTGGATCGTCTAACACACGAATCACCTTCCGCGCACACACGGATTTTTGAGGGTGTTTTTCCGCACTCTCAAAAATCCACGATCCACGAATGCACAGTGCGTTTAAGGACACGTGGAAAACTCGGACATCTGAGTTTCCAAACCTGTTTCCCAAACAAAAGTATATTTGTGATGCTTGAGTACCTAAATATATTGTGAGATGTTTGTCATATTGTTATGCCCACCAGACTATGTGTGTCAGATGGGATAATTGTATATCTGCACCCTTTCAGACCTGTAACGGGGTAAGACAGGGTAGTCTGTTGTCCCCAATTTTGTTTAATTTTCATATGAATGGTCTCTCTAAGGAGCTAACTTTGTGTAAAACAGGATGTATGGTTGGAGGTACAATTGTGAATCATTTAATGTACGCAGATGATCTGATGATCTTTAAATGAAGTTAAGTACTTGGGTCATGTTATAAATGATTGCTTGTCTGATGACGGGATATGTACCGGCAGTGCCGCATGTTGTATGCACAAGCAAATGTGTTGGTTCGGAAATTTGGTTCATGCTCGGATGGAGTAAAATTGACTTTGATTAGAATGTACTGTACCTCCCTGTACACTGCACATCTATGGTCTAATTATAAAAAAGGCAGTCTTAAGAAACTGGCAGTGGCCTATAATGACGCCTTGAGGTTATTATTGAAAAAGCCTAGATGGATGAGTGCCAGTGAATTGTTTGTGTCATCTCGGATCAGTACATTATCTGCTGTTTTAAGAAAATTGATGTATAAATTTATTTGTAGTTTGAATAGTTCTGGAAACAACATTGTTTTATTGCTGACTAATATTACATGTGATATACTTCAGTACTTTGGAAAAACTGGTATATCTGCCTTTTAAAAGGGTAGTTGTTTATTAGTTGTTGTTCTTGTTGTTGTCTTTTTTATTATTTATTGCTGATTGTTTCATGGTTTTATGTTTTTTTTCAGCATTTATACATCTGGACCTTGAGTCTGTAATAAAGTATCTATCTATCAGTCCTGCCTGCTTTTGCAGATTCTGTTCACCATTGCCTTATTAACTGCAGCTCACTGCCTGAACCTTTATGAGTTATGGACTAATTTGAGGACCTCCGCATTGTTTTCCACAATTGTAGTCATTCCATGTGCAGATTTGAAGAGTAGCTGACATGTTATTAAAAATACATCCATACCTCAGGCTTTCATTTTCCCCCTCATAAAGCCTGAGCCTTCCTTGTCTCTTTGTCCTCTCACTCCCTTTTCTCTGTGCTATTATTGCAGCTCCTGTGTTTCATTAGAACAGCGGTGAGATGAAAATCTCCACACCACCTTTACAACACCAGTTGTGCTGTAATTGCTTATTAAAGCTGTGGGCATAGTTAAGGGGTCATGTGACTAACATGGACATGCGTATGTCACACTTGGTGCCACTAATCGGTAAAGATTAGCATGCTAACTTGCTAAATATTTTGAGCATACATTATTTAGCAGGCATGAGGTTTACCACTACCAGGCTATCATTATCACTGTGAGCGTGTCACCATGCTGATGTTAGGATATAGATCACAGAGCCACTAGCATGGCAGTAGGCTCTAGGTCTTGTTATACTGACAGTGTAACACTACTTGTATGTGAAAGGTGTCACTTGTAGTGATTACTCAGTTCTGCAGTTCTCCTCGGCCTTGTGGAGAATTTTAGCATCTTCCAGCCCATTTTTTTGACCCACAACTTTCCAGTTTTAGTTCACTTTCAACGCTCTCAAAGCCCTTTAGACTGTGGCCGGTGGCTGTTTTCAGTGAAAATGCTCTGATCAACCCACTATACACTATTTGCCAATCTAATCAATTTCACAACAGCCGAGGAGGACTGTGGCTCCAGAGGGCTGGTAGTCTGAGTCTTGGCTTATAGTTTGTTACTTGAAGGCCGACACCACCTCTTTCATAGACATTTTGATTTATTGTATGTCAACAGGAGAGAAAATAGAATAAAGGTGTTTCCATCCTTTCTTGATTAAAAACCCGCTGGCTACTGTATGGAAAAGATAACGGGGTCAGCGATGGTGTCTGTAATAAGTGTAAAGCTGTGTACAAAGCTGCACCAGTCAGCTGGAAATTGTTTCAATTCCCAGAGTAGCAAAAGAGATTGCCTATTAGTTTTAGCACTGGAGAGTTGCCGAGGTGTCTGGAAATTGACTGAACATTGTTTTCTTGGGTCATAGAGGAATTGTAGAGAGGCATAGTCATGAACAAGGATTGAAGCCGCAACTGTTTTTCTGGCATGACATATTTTATCCATACTCAGCCTTATGGAGACACTTAGGGCATTTTCTCAATTTAGCCCGACTTTGTTATGCGGCTCAGAACACCACCTACTTCCCTCCTGTTTCTCTGGTCTCTCCACTGGGGGAACACAAGCAATCACTGCTAATGAACCAAGCCAGTCTCCCTCCTCAAATAAAAAGCTGATGAAAGCCTGGGAGATGTTGAACTGAGCACATAGTTTCTGTTTGGGAAGCGGTGACCCTGCAGCCACGCTCCATGCTTTAATAAATCTACATTTTTCACCTTCTCACCGTCAGCCTCCGAGTGTATGGTGGTGTGAGAATGTTGGCTCACACAATACTCAAACGCTGTACTCGTACTGCTAAATATGCTCATTGATTTAATGAGAGTATGGTGTTAAAACTCATAACAAAATGCTAACAGGCAAATGAGGGGGTTGGATTGTCAAGTAAGCTCCAGCTCTGGGCTGCTAATGTTTTTCTCACCTTGCATGTCAGTGTCTGTAAGGAGGCTGTGGGGGAAATTAGACAAAACTCAATAACACAGCAGTTTTCTCAGTGCTCTCAACTAAAGACAAACACCACTGTTGTTCACCTGGGCTTGATCACCGATTTGACTGTGTTGTTCTAAATCACATTATTGTAGCCTTTATATTGTAATGCATATATTAAGACGAGAGACGGGTTTAACCGAGACTAAAAATGTAAATACATCTGTTAACTGTATAACTGAAAATGAATCCAGGTTTTTAAACCAAAAGAATGTGATGGTAGTTGTATCTAGAGATGCATAATGCTATTGTCTGTGCTTTTTGTTGCAGTTCAGATCTGTTAAGCATAAATGCATATTTAGCTGAGGATGAGAATCGGGTATGACAGATGGAAAGGCCAAGAGTTGGCAGCTTAAACTTAATGATGCATGATATCTGGTGATTTATGAGCACAGCTTCAAGAGTAAGAAGTGTTAGTCAGTGTAGGTGAGAGGTTAGACATCATAGTTTGACAAGAAGAAGGTCCACTTACTGAAAATATGCCACAGCTTCCTATAATCTTGTGACCTTTATCGGTGGATGAAGTTTGCTCAGTTGCCATGGAGATGGTGCAGTTGTCAGTCCAAAGTGATCTTCGTCTAGTTGAAGAGTTTCTGACATATTTGACACCTAACCTCTTTACAGCCTTCAGGTAGATATTTGTATATAAGTAGAACATCAAAGGGCCTAATACTAAGCACACCAACAGCCAGGTATAACCACAAGCAGGGCTTAAAGTGTTATATACATCTCGCTCTAGGTCCTATTAATAACACCGTAACAAACTTATGATGCCTTGGCACTGTGATCTATTTATTAATGTGACCATGGCTGCTCATTTTGCTCATTTCCAGCCATTTAATGTTTAATCTTGGGTACCTCTAGATTAGCTTGATACCCCTCATAACTCCAAGTAGTCTGTAATTATTTCAGAACAATAAAACCAGAGAGCCTCTTCCAAAAAACAAGAGGATAGTTCATGAATGCACACAACTCCTGCTGCCGGTGTTGTGTTGCAAGTGGACAGCACAATGAACAGCATTAATTAATGTGAATGTCTCCTCCATAGATAGGTAAACAACAGTATATGTACCAATGAAGAGATGTGTAACACTCTAAACATAGTGGGTAGTTGAGAAACCCCATATTTTAACTGGCATAATGCAGAGACAGTAACTTCTCCAGCCTTACAACAATTCTCTGTAATGTTACAGAAACAAGGCATTAAGAGACATGCAACTTTCACCTAGTTTTCTGAGCTTTAGGTCCCGTCTAAGATGATAATTCACTGTTGTAACATTGTAGATAAGTCAGAAAACATGGAAAAGTGCTGTGGGCTCTTTAAGATACCAAGATACATACTCTCATACTGATAGTAGCAAAGATGGCTGAAACAATGTTTTGTACATTTTCTTTATTGTGTGCCTTTTTCTTTTAACTTAATGGCTCTTATTTAGGACAAATCTTGAGGTGTGGGTATGATATGTGGAGTTGCATTGTTTATTTAATTTTATTTTTAATTACTTATGACAAAAGAGGTTTGGATATATATGTGTATACACACACACACACACACACACACACACACACACACACACACGAGAGTCACAAATGAGAGTCACAATAATTTGTTTTACACAAGTGTAACAACAATGAAGCATCTATTGATATATCCACATTGTTAGGCTCTTTAAATGCAGAGTTTAAATTCCTTTTAATTGACTTTTCATTTGACAAAATGCACAAAATTCTCTGCAGTCATGTTTTCAGCCATTTGAGTTCATTTCTGTGTCTCCACTGTGTTTAATTACATTGTTCTTGTTTTTATATGAATTAAGCTAAATGTCACTGCACTGTAGAGTGAGGGAACACACCCAAACATGCCGACTGTGAACTCACTTTAACCGGTGTTCTTTCAGAGGCAGGCTCCCTACTGGAGTCCCTGATGGAAGGGGACTTTGAGGCGGTGCTGCTGAGTCCTCAGGTGTTGGAATTGCTCGCTGGAGATGACAGCTGCAGTGAGGGGGAAGACATTGAGTCCTATCTGGAGAGACGAGTCCTACTGTACATGACAGGTGGCCCCAGCAAAGACCAGACCAACAAGTAAGACAGAAGGACCCTGGCCTTCAAATCAACTATGACCTGTGAAATTTCACATATGTGTGTTTGATTGTATCAGCTGCTGGAGTTAGAACTACAGTCAGACATTTTAAAAACAAATGAACCATGAAAGGTTTTAAGGCATTGCTCAGCAAAGTTGGGAAGAGTTTAGTAATCATGATGATCTGTTCATGAAATGCTGAACCTGCATTCTGTTTTCTTGGGTTATTCTGTTATGCTTTAAAATGCATCAGCCCAAAAGAAAGTTGAGTCAGATTTTATTTACTGTGTGCTTTAACTGAGGGGGAAAAGAAAAGGTGTTTTTCCTACTCTGCCTAGATCACAGCACAAAAAGCTTTTTACCTGGTGCATTCCCCGTCCCTGTTGCAGTGAGGAGCTTCCCTGGGTATGGCTGAGAAAAAAAACATGGCATAACATTGTGCATCCCTCAGTGTCACTGCCTAAACTGCATTTATGTCAGTTTCTGAACCAAACATGTCAAATCCTGCTGTTATAAAAATCAGTCTAGACATAATGTGATTGCAGAATAGTTTGCCATGTTTTTGCATATTTATTTGCTTGTAATGACCGAAACATACTTCCATTTCATAATGAGCTGCCCAAGCCAGTAAGGTAGTGAAGCCAAGACCTTTTGCAGCTATCTTCACAGATTATTGTAACACATGTTGCTTCTTACCTGTGAAATAACAAAATAGAATTCACTTTGATGTATATCAATCAGTACAAAACACTGCACAGTGGTGTGCGAGTTATAAGGAAGGAGTGCACAACTGGAAAGCTACCACAGTAATAATTTTAACTTTCATCACGGTGATCAAAAGGTAAAGAATAAAAATACGCCACCTGCATTTCAAGGTAATCGACCTGGAACATGCACTTGCGTGTCTTTCACTGACATATGTCGTGTGAGTTGAGCCGGGTTTTTACGGACAACCTTGCTGTTTTTTGCCGTAGATGAATTGACAACCCTGCTGTGTTGCCAAACTGGCCTCCTTTAAAGGAGAGGGCTGTCTGAGTATGTGTGTGTTTTTCCTCTCAGGGTTGTTTCTGTTTTCTGAGCATGGACTGACAGCCAGATGCAAGCCTTGTTGAGACAATAGTCAACAAGAGGAGCTGATTTTAAGTAACACCCAACTTTAGCTTTCTGGTAAATGTCTTGTTCTCATCTACCAAACGTAGACTGCTCATGTCCTCAGCCTTCTGAACAAGTTTTCCAATCAAATATTCATTGGACCAGCAGGATAGTTAGCTGGAGCCGAGCTTCTGAAAATGGTGGACTGTGCATAAAAATGGCTGGAACAGCCTCAACAGTTAATGGAATATGTTTGTTAAACCCCTTGAATTAAACGTGAAACTCTACACTTCAGTAACATCTTGACTGACTGATTGCAAGTCCGTTGTTCGTGGTGTACAGAGGCAGACACTTATGGCCATGACAATAGTTACATTATCTTTCTTTACCTCTACTATGTCATTGTCTGGAAAAGGACAAAGAAAAACATAGAAATATGCTAAAATTCCTGTCACTGTGATTTATAACTACAGAAATAACCAACTGAGTTCAGTTATTATTAATAATAATAATAATAAAGCAGTTACTGAAGCAATCTCACTAATTAAAATCTCCACTGTCACCTCATTGGTCGATGACGTGTTTTTAGGGTTAGAAATAGTTGAGTTGAGCACAAAGCTGTTCTCAAGGCTGTTTGTTCATTTTGCTGTCACTGTTTCTGTCTATTTTGCCTTGAATTATTAATTTTTAATAAGGACAGCTTAGGTGAGGTGTGTTCCTGAGTAAATGTTGAATGCAGCAGATATTGTTCTTTTCCTTTCATTATAATTGGATGTGTTTCCTCGCTACTGTGACCTTCACTTTCTTGGCTTAAAAGAGAGCAGTGCATGTTGTTGGTTGTTTTAAAAATTCTCTAATTGTCCAAAATGTGATCTGGCAGCTAGAAAAGATTTCATGCCTTTCTAGAAACTTGAGTGGGCTTATTTTAATGGCACAGGGCTCAAAATGTCTTTAGACCTATACTAGTCTCTAAAGCCTTTCTGTCCACTAAGTTGTGTATATCTTGTCCCTCCTGCTGCAGGGAGATGGTAGTGATGGCCCTGGCCGTCTCTTGCCTCCACTTGTTTGTCCAGAGCAACTGGACTGGACCTCCAATCTCCATCGATATCTCAGACCTGCTGCCTCCAGCCCTGCTCTCCACACAGGTATAACACCAACTTATCGCTTTCTTGTGCTTTTGTGTCTTCCTGTGTCCTGCACTGATTTTTATATTAGCTGGTTTACTCAGAGGTTATGCTTATGTTTGAGAAGCTTTGATACCCTTTTCATGGGCAGATTTAGAGTTGTTGAAATTATCAAGGTCAACCAAAATTTTACAACCATTCTTTTTCAGTTTTGGAAAAGTTGCTAAATGTGAATTATAAGGCCTAAACCAGACCTGGATCCTCTCATGTTCTGTGAGTCCTGACATAATGAATATAACGAATGAATGGATGGCTAGAGAAATACTCTTTGTGCTACAAAACATTTTAGTTGTCAGGTAAAATGTAAGGTGAACATTACTTCTAGGGTTTTTATTGTGACCAGTTCTAGATACATTTATGGTGTAGCAACAGTGTTGTGCAACTTATTTAAGACAGGACTATGGAGCGTTCTTGTAAAGCATTTCAGTTTTTATGTTATAGAAACGGCTCAAAAGTTATAGTCCAAATGTAAAAAAAAAAAAAAATCCCATTTTAAGTTGAATTGACATTTAACTGGCAATAAATAATGTGGATTGAAAGCAAGTGTGTTTTACTACAGATTTTACAGTCTCGTACATACTGGGCCAAATTTCTGATGAATTTTTTTTTTTTTAAATGTATGTTTCCGAAGCAGCTTTTGTTTTAAACTGACCTTTCCTAAATCCATCCACAACAGATTGTTCAACACGACCCAGTCAAAACAACATTTAAACAGGAAAGATTTTGGAGCAAAATGTAGCCAACAATGGAAACACTGTGTCCATCTGATCCTGTCTACTTGTGGAAGCAAAGGAAATGCATATGCCTCTTTTCCATGAAATTGGGAATACAGTTGTACCATTCATCAATAGTGGACCAAATCCAAAACAGAGGAAGCTATTGTAGTGTAGCTGTGTGGCAGCACCTGCTTTTATATAGCCTTGTTCATATAACCTACTCTAGGAATGATCTGTAGACATTTAGGAGGTGGGTTGATGATATACAGTATGTACATCTTTTGAATAAACAGTGTGAACCTACTGGATAGCTGGCTAGCCAGTAAACTGGCACACACTAGGTAGCTGGATAGTTAGCAAGCAGCGTGTAGTTGGCTGACTAACTAGTTGGCTAAATAGCCAACCAGCTAGCCAGGAGAACTTTTGTGACTGCTAGCAAGTTACTGACTGCCTACTGTGTAAGGTTGTGTATGCTAAATAAGCACTAATATTGCCAATACTAATATTGTCAGTAACAAGTACTTTAATGTGCAATCTATGTAAAAATAGACGTTACACAGTAAAATGATATATTTTATGCAAAAGTGGTCTCAGTATGCCTTTGAGGCCTAACACCATTTATTATCCAAATTCTAATGAAGGTGCACAGTTTTTGCTACTGCCAGTGCAGCAGCATGAAATATCTCTGCATATTTAGCCTAAACAGTTCTACAAGCATCTGTGCTTAAATGTGAACATGGTATGTATGCTGTGAATACCAATGTCTTTACAGCTCAGGCTGTATAATATACCTACGGTATAAGCTGTGTACACATACATGTCATTAATGGGCCTTAGTGCCCAGTCAAGCGGCCTTTGTGTGGTATTGAAGACCAAAGGGCCTTGTCCTTCCTATTATGAAATGCCCTGTTGTGAATTCGTTTTAGTGATTCACTCATCCATTCATTCATTCATTCATTTTCTCAGCTTTATATCATAGTTGAAAAATTGCCTAATGCTGGGTTATGTTCATTGCTAAGTGTGTGCTAATGGTGTATAAGTCGAGTGAAGCTGGAGCAGAACCACAGGTAGCTGTAGGAAGACTAGGTGCAGGAGAAATGCCCAGTAATGAAGCATCCCTAGGGTCCTAGTTGCACTAGGCTGTGCAGACTGCTTCCTCTTGGCACTGCAGCACTGAGAACAGAACAGTGTGTCACACTCTGCAATTACACCAACCGAGAGAGCCATTTCTTTTATTGAAGTAGTTCCTTGGCGATTTATCTGTGCTGGTCCACACCTAGAAGACCGTGTTATAAAGCAAATCATCCATACATGCACAACAGCCCAGGTGAAAAGGAAGGACAGTTATAGCACATGTTGTGGATTTAACCCATTTAGGGACAATAGAAAGGTGAGGGGATGATGGAGCACAATATGAGCATTGCATTTACTGTCATGTTAGGCTGTTGTCAAATCAAATGTTTTGACATAAGAGAAAAGCATGTGTAGATGGTTAGATAAATGAGAGCTGAATTCCATTTAGCTTTCAGGATCCTGGTATTGTTCATGCTTTTCTGCTTAAGGATAACAACTGACAACAGATGAAATGATGGATAACTGTAGTGGCCGAGATGTTGTATGGAAAGGACATTCTTGAATTTCTCCTGGACTGCTGGAGTGTACAAAGCTGTGTTTTATAAGCAGTGTTTTCCAGAACTGGGGTGGATGCAGTTTTATCACCAGGCCACAGAATGCTTGTGACTAAATTCAGAAAAGCGTAACTCTTCGATGGTAAAAACTAGAAAATAGAGCTGATAATGATTACATACTGAGAAATGATTCTTCCCTGGCAGCTGCTTGTGGTTTTCATTCAAATGTAAAACTTTCCTTACCAACTGGTCCTAATCTCTGACCCTGTTCATTTGTCTTTGACTGGCAGCCCCAGAACCTGGCAGAGGCTATCCACTGTAGTCTGCTCCTGGATGGGGAGTCGGTGTACAGCCTGGTGGCAAACCCCTTCCTCCTTCTGCTGTCCAGGGTTATTCTCACCAAATGTTCCTCCAAGATGGACAGCCTGCAGGTAGGTCTGTCTGCCTCTCACAGCCACGTCTTCTTGGTGAATTATACAAGTTTTTTTGTAGGGGTGTGTGTGTGTGTGTGTGTTTTATAGATTTTGTATCATGGTAGTTCAGCCCCTAGAAAAACATTCACTCATCTCGACTCAGAGGACCACATACCTACTAGCTTTTCAATCTCATCAGTCATGAGATGCTGTCCACAGATCGACCCGTTACCTTCACTGAAGTGTATTTACGAGAAAATGCAATATCATACACCCTTCTACCTCTTTCTTTACATCTGTATGTTTGTCAATTTTTATTGAAGTTTGGCAGAATCCATAAATGTAAGGAACCAAAAACACAGAAGGCAGCACTGCTGTACATCAGCTGCCCAGTAAAAACAGAAACCTTATTTTTACCATCAGTCAGACCAATAAATATTGGCTTTCAACTCTCAGGCCGAAGTTTACAGTTTTCCCAAAGAAATTATAGCCTTGCTTTAAAACACTAAAGAGACATTGCAGCCAATAAATTATTATATTATAATTGTTATTATATTAAGTCTGTTCTCAGGATGACAGTGGATGTCATGTTGCATCCAGAAACCTTGCAGCAAATTTTAAGATGAACTACAAATTCAAATTGCTGCATGAATTAAATGGGTGAAGTTGGTCTTTCAGTTTGGGCAGTGCTTAGTTCTGACTGATGACCTTTAAAGAGTAAGTTGACCCGGTGATGTTTGATGGGTTCATAAGTGAAACAGGCTTGTAACATAACCACAGAGGGCAGAAAATCCCTGCTTTTAACTCTGGTCTTATGTTACCGTTTAATAAATCTTTAAGAATGCAAGCACAGTGAGGAATCACAGACTGAGAAAGGCTCTTGTTAAACCGATGAGTGGCTGGCAGGCTCACAACTAACCCAGCCACAGAGGCTGATCATCTCTTGATAAGTTCCCACCAGACTGGTTGCTGGAAGGCTTCTTGCTTATTAAAGAAGAGCTACTTGCATAGCAAGGTCAGTCTCCTGGCTCTCCCTGCACATCTAGTCTTTTTTTCCTCAATCAGTCTCCTAATCTGTAACATTTCTGTGAATAAGCATAGGCTGTCATTGTCTGGCCTCTTAAAAACCTCATGAAAATGAAGTCATAAGCCAGAAAATGACAGTTGTTCTGATGTCAGAGGATGTATTTTGCAGCACCTGTTAAATGCCTGGTCTGACATCACCAGTTGGGATATGAGCACAAGTGCAGAAATGCTTTTCTGCTGCAAGGTAGTTGAGTGTTGATAATGCTGATTAAATGCTAATGAGGGATAAGAGAGTTAAACACCATCACTGTTTTCCACCAAGCAGTTGAAGGGATGAGACTCTGTAGCTTTAAGTGCATAACCCTACCACTGGTCCGTCCAGATGATGCCATTCACCCCTGTCCCCGGCCCTGTTCATCCATGTCCCTCCCCTTCTGGAAGCTGCTCATAGCCCATTCCACAACAATAAATGTGGAAGGACAAAGAGAAACTCTGCTGGTCAGAGTAAGTCAGGAGGCAGGTGATGGGTGTACATGTGTATGCTGTCATGATAAATGCATTAGTTACAGCATGTACAGTGTTTGTGCTGGAGGGTTTTGATTCAGTGGGACTGACAATTAAGCCTTTATGTAATCGTGCAACAGAGGATGAAGTCATCTTACACTGGAGGTGAGGCAGATCAAATCCCCCCGACACATAAACTTATGTACTTCACTCCCACTCCCGACGCTGAACAACAACATGAGGTTATGGGGTGTAAGAGTGTTGTGGTTTAAGTGGAAATATAGCATTTACATGGCCACAAGATAGTTACTCCCCCTCAGTGCTGGTTTGTGTTCTGGTCAGATGTAAAAAAGCAAAGGAGTTGGCTGTTTTTAATGCCTGGTCAGCACTCGGCCTCAGCGTGCAGCGCTCTGGACTTTTTATTTCTGCCCAAGGGGCCTCAGGAGCTGCATTTTAAGTTTGTTAATTAAACCTACACATGTAATTTCTTAAGCAAAGAAGAGTTGTACTATTAAAATCAGAGTAAAATGAAAAATAGTTGCTTCAGATTTTCTTGAACTATGCTAATGACAATACAGATATTTTCTAATGTTTTTAATGTCAAACCTTCTTACATTTTACTTACTAGATCAAATGTATCCTCACCTACAGCTGAGGCTGTTGTGGGGACAATGTCTAAGGCCTGCATTTATGGTCTTCATATTGTCGTATTAAACGAGATATAATCGTACAGATCATGATCACCGATGTCTTTACATACGCAAAATTAAATAGAGCAGAATTTTTACAAACTTGACACTATGGTGGTCCAAACCATTTCACTGAGGTACATGACTGCTTTTCTTTGGTATTTCATTGTCTTCAACTGCTGCAGCCACCGTTACTCAAACTTTTTGGCTCGCAAAGCTCACGCATGCAGGTGTCTCCAAGGCAACGGCAGCAGCTTATCTTACTGTCGTAAATCCAGAGATCTACTGGCATTGGTGTTTGAGTGACAGCAGAGGAAGCACTAATCCCGGTTTTGTGATGTATGCATTTTTTACATCGTCCAAAAACAAAAAATGTAATTAATCCGATATGTCACGCACATCAGAGTATTACGAATATCATCGAATTTTCTATGATGTATTTATGGAAGTATATCCACACTAAAATGTTTGAGGGTTTCCAAATCACATTTCGAGCACTACTCAGTTTCCAACTCAGCATTTGAGAGCGTGCAGGCACAGATTTGTACATGCATATGTCAAGCCGCTTTAGCATTTATTCAATATCCTTGATGTCAAATGTCATTTTCGTCCTCTAGTTCAGTCTTTGTCAGCACTAGGTGGACGTCTGGTTCCAGTAATTGGACGTTTTGTCGTACTAGTTGAACAGAAACTCTTGATAGTTGCTCTTTTTCAGCAACTAGTGGCACTTTTGTCCAACTAGTTCCAACATAAGCCATACTAGGGCTTCTAGTATGGCGTCCTACTAGTAGCTCCAAAGTCCCAACTGGTCACCTTTTTCATGCACTAGTGGGCCTCTGGACCAAACTAGTGACGTTGAAAGTCTTACTGTGAAGGCCAAAACACTGACTGCTTAACCAGTTAAAGCCAATTTGACCTTACTGGTTTACTAGTGAGACTTCAAGTAATGTAATTTATGTAATCTTGCAAAATGGGCTTGTTTACAACCTGTTTGATTTATCAGATGACATGTCTTTACCTGTCAGATTGTGTTGTAGCTGTGTCACTGTAGTCAGTGGCGCTACACAAATGTCTTTTGTTATATTTTACGTCTCCTGCTTATTCTTACATATGCTTGTTTATCTTTTGCATTGTTGTTGTTGTTGTTTTTTTTTTTGTTCTGTGTATGTATAGCTGCTGCCCTGGTGGACTCTACGCTACATCAGCCTGCACCAGCAAATCCTTGAGGCTCGGTCACCAGAGCTCCTCAGCCTGGCCCACAGTTGCATGCACAAAGGTCAGTGAACACTAGACCATCCCGTACATGTGTGTACTCCTTTGTTTGGGCTTGTTTCTTAAAGTGTGTGCAAGGCCTAACAGCTGCAGGATTGGATAGTTTGGACATGACACTATGTAGTAACTGTATGCTCTGTGTTGCACTACAGGACTGGAGCTGTGGATAATAGGCTGTTCCCTCAATAAACAGTAGCCTGCTTAGCTGATGGTTGAATCAGAGTTGGAGTACAGCGTGCCATTTCTATTCAGCTCTGATTGGACACTCACTTTCTCTTATTGCCACTATACCGGTGCACAGCAAAATTGTTAATTTCCCAGGTGATGTGTTTCCACGCAACAGTTTCGAGTCCTGCTATGTCATTAACATTACTGAATGGGGTAGTTGTGTAGTGCAACAATCAGCTTTTCCCACATTTGTTTAGAGTGCTTTTACAGAGTTGAGCTGGAGTTTCTAAAAGCTGTGCATCTGTTTATCTCAGAATTGTCACCCCCACACATTAAAGGACTTTAGCATAAATTTGAAAGTTTCAGACCTACTTTAATACGGTGCTGGCAGCTGTGGTGGTAGGTGCAGGTTTCTTCAGGTACCGGTGAGACATGAAATCTGATCAGGAAGTACAGCTTGACTATTAGATCATACATCAAACTACGAAACACAGAGTGGTTTATAACACTATGAGACAGGAGGTTTGAAGGGCCAGTCTTCTAAGATGCTGTGCACTAGAAACACTAGAAAGGCTCTCTTCATGTTACAAAGTATCCCACAGTGAATGTGTGCTTACATGTATTTGTTTGACCATCACAGTGGCCTGATGGATGACGTCGCATTATGGTCTAGAAAAAGCTTGGCCAGGTTGAACTGTTTTGCTGGCTGATATGTGTTTTTTCACTGGAGCACTGTGATTAAATTATGATGAATACAGTTTATTAAAATGGGTTCAGTGACCACAGAGAGCTGGAGACACTGAAGGGTGGTGTAACAGGCAGGAGAGTGACCAGCTGCTGTACATCTATAGCTGCCCTGTCACACTTTACTACATGGCAGCAAGGTTAAGCAGACAGCTGGCTGTTGTCTGACTTTCTCTGCGTGCACTCAGTGTTGATGCAGCCAACGTTACAGCAGAGCTGTTGTCATTAACCTGTGTTTATCATAGTCTTGTGAGACAGCATTGGGATCATACAGCTTAAAGTAGACACCTGCACCTGCCTGAACACAAGAGGGGCTTGTTTCATTTAAATGAAGTGGATTACATTGTTTAATTGTTACTCATAGGGCTGCAACTAAAGGTTGATTTCATTATTGAGTAATGTGCTTATTTTTTGTTTTTTGTTGTTTATGCAATGGTAGGATGTAGCGAAAGGTGAAATAGTGTTGGCTTTAATTTTCCAGAGCACAAGATGACATACAAAGGTCCTTGTTTATTTGACCAATAGTCAAAAAAACAGAGAGAAACAATTTATGATGGGCTATGTCAAAGAAAAGCAGCATATCATTGCCTCTGAGAAGCTTTAATCAGTGAATATTTGGAATTTTTCCATGATAAATGACTAAAGGAATTTATTGATTGTCAAAATTCTGGGTGATTAATTTGTACCAGTCAACTAATGATTGCCGCTCTAGTTACCCTTCTGGTACAGTGCTTATGTTAAACTTCATTACAACGCCAGGCACTGTCCACAGTGGCTGTCTGGTGCTGTATGAGACAGAGAAGCCTTCATATCTTCTTTGTTTTCATGGATGGATGATTAGATATAGAAGACCGTGTTAAGGTTTTGATGCTAGCTGTTAAAAGCAACCTTTAGCATCTGTATGTTACAGGTTGTCTACTTGTTTATGAAGCACAGAGTAAATATTAGTTTCATGCGGTACCACTTTACTGTGGGCTCACTCTCCCAGTGATGCTTATTTAAAATGTGGCATTGGGCTACAGTGGATTGACAGAATACTCTTAATCCAGAAGCTGGTTTATTTTCTATAATGACATGGTGTGATTAATTGATTCAGGGGATATTTGGCATCTCAGTATGTGAATTTAATCTTCATAAAGCAAAGCTGATTTCCATATACAGGGCTGTTTTCAGAAGACATCTAAGATGTTTGTGCAGTTATTGATGCCTGTTGTTTAAAGCTAGAGGGTGTGTTTGTTGGAGTGTAACGGAGTGTGAAGGGTGAGCAGTGTGTGCAGGGCACAAAACAGTCCATCCATATTCCAGAGGAGCAGTCGGCTACACGGTCATTTTACGAGCGATGTGAGGAGAGTGGTGAGGGTCTACTTTGAAAAGCAGAGATGTTGTTTTCCCCATGCTGCACATGAACTATGATGTTTGCTTTGGTTAGGTTTAGCTTGGTGTATATATTGCTCATTAACAGTTTGTCAGCTCTAATTAACTGAAGTAAATTAACTACTAGTCGTCACAACAACACTAAGCAACTTGGTGTTTCTTCTATTAGTTGAATGTTATTCTTGGTGGCATTCAAGGGACCATTTAATTGCCCAGATTGAGATAAAGTCATGAATGTGTCTGTGTTCAGTGTGAAGGTTTTGAAGGTCTGTCTGTTGGCAGAGCCCGGCCTGGTTCAGTTCAGATACTGAGTGTTTGTTAGATCAAGGTAGAAAACACACATTCAGAAATGTCTCCTAAGACAGATCATTGGTGCAAAGCCACAGATTATAATCTACATATCTCAAGGTGCAGGTTTCCCTGTGAAAGGGAAAGACTGAAGTTATATTCCATCCTTATTGTTATCAACTTTCATGAGAAGACCAAAGCATATGGTGCTAAAAGTGATACAGATGTGTTGCTTGTAAATCTCTCTCTCCCACTCCTTGTCGACCCTCTGAGCGCCATCAGCCTCAGTGTCACTTCATTAATGTTGAATGGGGATGAAATTGTATGATTTCTAATCATGAATTATACACCTCCTCTCTGCTTCTTTTCTCCTGTCAGTTGCAGCTGAGAATAATCTCTCTGTCTCCATGACAGGGCCTTTGTCGAGGCTGAATTAATTATCATATCAAATAGAAAGAATGGAGCCACACAGCTCATCGTCCTCCCCCATCACCTCCATTCTCCGTTTGTCTCTTATGTGTCACCTCAAGACTTGAGTTTTTTGGGATGGAACTGTGAAGAGTGCAGCTGTATTCACATGGATGCCGTTATTCATCCAGAATGCCCACAGCGTATGTTTATATTGCGAGCTGCTTGATTATTGGGCTTGATTGTATCTGTGTAGGAGCTCTTTAATTGCTTTGTATTTATCATGTCTCTGTAAAGCACTTTGGGCACATTTGTTGTTTTTAAATGTGCTCTATAAACAAGTTGACTGGATTAATCTCATGCAACTACAGCCAAGGCTGAAGATAAATAGTCCAAATAAGAAGAAAATGTGATGAGAATGTCATGAAAAAACAGTTTTGGTCTCTATCGCTAATTTACCCTTCCATGACAACTGCGTGGGGGTGCATTTTTTTATTTTTTTTATATAACTGACCCATTTAAATTATATTGAGACTAAAAGTTATGCATAATAAAGGGTGTGCTCACTTTGAGTGACAGTAGGGAGGGTCTCGCCACTGGTGGGTAGCTTCATTCTGTCCATTCAGTCTGCCTCGGCTCCACTCACGCTCCACCTCTTTGCCTATTTTTGGATTAGACGTAGTAGGTGAATTGAACTACTACCCAAAAGGCGATGGCCAGACTTGAGCTTCAAAACCTCTCTTCAGAAAACCGATGAGTGATGTCACAGTGGGTTTGTCCAGGTTTTCTATACAGTCAGTGGTTTGAGCTTCTTTATCAAACTCTTTTTTAAAATTCTTTATGCAACCGTTTTTGTCGCTTGTCGTGAACAATTGAGTGCAACACTGTGAATATCTTGTATGGAAACGGTCTTTCCACCTTATCTTTGAATATGTCCATTTGGATGAGGTTTAATGTTTTTTTCCTTTTACTGTGGTTAGTCAACACATTGTCCAAACTCCAACCTTCTTTTCAAGCATAGCCTGACCCTTATAGCACGTTAGCCTGATAACATGTTTGTCTCCATGCCAAGTGGCAAACTCCTAGACTGAGAAATGAAGCCCGTGTGAAAGTGTTAAAACCTGCAGTTCCTTGAATGGCCACTTGAGGCTGTCTCCAAAAGGGAGTCAGTCCCCATACACTCCTATGTTAATGTCACTCGGAGTGGGAAGTGGCTAAACAAACTCGGTTTCTGCTGGGCAGTTTTACCAGCCAAAACAGCATGCAAGACAGAGGTTGAGGTTAGAAAAGGTTAATTTATTACAAACTGTTTAAAACTGTGTTACCTAACTTTAGACCGTTAAGGGCGAGGTGAGAGTCAAAGCAAACTCGAGCAGTATCCCCTCCTCTTCTCCCTCTGCTCTTCTTTGCCCCTCCCGCCCTTTCTGTGAAACTGTCATTATGTGGTGACAACAGCCGGAGATGGTTGTAGCAGTCAGGCAGCGCAACAGTAATAACTGGCTCCAAAACTAATGTATACAGAATGTAGAACCCAAGATTTTCAATGGCATTGCAGTGACACAGTGTCAAATAAAGATGTTTACTACATTTTATAGATATACGTATGTATATCTAACGTTGTTTGCAGCGGACGTATCTGCAGTAACACAAGTAAATTAAACAGAGGAGTTTCATTCCCCAGTAATAATGATACAGTACTAATGTTCTGGCTACCGTCACATTGTGTTCAGTGTTACATACTTCACTCACATAATGTTATAAGGTAACAGTGTTTTTATTTTAAATGAGAAATTTCATGTTATGCTTTGATAGTTAAACAAACTCCCCACTTTTCTAGTTGTGTCGTCTCACTAAAACGCCACACAGACTGCAGTGTTAATGTCCAACGTAAACTAACCGTGTGGCCTGGACCAAATCTGAGGAAAGATTTGATTTGCATACTGAGCCAAATTACTTCATTTGCTAATCCAGGAAAACACACTGGTAACACTAACGTTGTAGTCAGTTGGAATGACTCCAGGTTACAACCAGAATAATTCAGTACAAAGGTACAAAATTGAAAAGCTAATGTTAGCTTGCTAATGATGCTGACATATACAGTACTTTCTGGCTGCTTTGAGAGACAGACAAGGGGGGTCCAACCACTGATGACTAGCTTCATTTAGTCTGCCTCAGCTCCACTCACGCTTCACCTCTTTGCTCGTTTTTGGATTAGCCACAGTAGGTGGAGTGCAGAACTACCAAGATAGTGACTCTCCCGACTTGAGCTTCAAAGCCACTCTTCAGAAAACCAATGTGTGATTTTGCAGAAGGTTGGTTTGTCTTGTATATACAGTCAGTGCTCCTTACCCAAGAAGTATGTTGCTGTGGGTAAGATGGCAGACCTCTGCAAAACTGGACTGCACCTCTGTCCACCGTACCAGAAGTTGGTCATCCTCATGTCACCAGAGGGTGCTACAGCATCCTCAGCACCCCCCTTCTTGTGCCTATTCTTACACCTGTGCCTATTCTTTGACTACACACATGCATAATGCAGACATTCTTGGAAAAATGACAACAAGAAGACGAATTTCAAGTAGGGAAGATGGAAGTGTCTATTGTGGGTCCATCATCTTGTCTGCAACCAGGTTGGTTGTTGGTGAATGCATTATGTTTTCAGGTGATATTATATTCTCATGAACACAATACCGTATCTCAGGAATACCTTGAGGGAATTTTTTCAAATTTGGCACAAGTGTCCACTTGGTATCAGGGAGGGGCTGAATAGATTTTGGTGGTCATGGTGACCTAACATTTGTCCCATTCTTGTGAATTTGACAGGTTGGTGGAGGCATATAGTACAACCGTGATGTGGTACTATATATGACATGGTTAGTAGCGCAATGGACCCCCCTAAAGCTGCCAAAAAAGGTTACCAGTTTCCCTGTGTTTGTGGGCAAGTTTCAAAAGAAGACCATCACCTTGCAGAGTTTCAAGGTCTGCTATTGGAAATCATTAGATGAAATCAGAACAAGGAGTGTCAGTAGCGGTAGAGGACCTGAAACAATTAGAGAATATTAAAATAGAACAGCTGCAAAACATGTGGCATCAGAGCAAAGCTGGAGAGTAACAGAAATAATGTTCTATCATGAAAAAAAATCATTCCAAAGGTATGCAGGCCATGACTCATATGAGAGGTTGTGACAGTCATGGAGATATTAGATGAGAGAATATTGTAGGCTACAGTAGGTGACGTTACAGGATAATGCTGGATAGTGACTTGCTATATAAAGACCCCAAGGCAGCTGTCAAATTGGAGTAAGTTTCCTAACAACTATTGAACTGTGAGCTGGTGTGCTGAAATATAACAGAATGGGAAACAGAATCTTAATTTGGTATAGCTGTAAGTTTGTTATATACACCTAACATTGTTGATTTTGGTATAATTTGCTAATGAAAATGAAAAGTGTTAAATGTGACAGATTTTCTTAAATCACTTATACATGTCACTTTAAGAACAAATCTGTTTGCAGGAATGTCCAATCTTCTGTCTGAATTTGAGAACCCTAAAATAAAACCATACTGGAAATAAAGTTGTTGTTTTTTTTTTAAATTACACTACTTGAAATTGACCAGAGAGGACAGAAATTCTGAATGGTGGATTTCAAGTTTTGGTGGATTTGTTAGTGCATTTAATTCAGTGGTGCTTAAATTTCAACAATGAGTATTTAGATTCAGTGGGTGACAATCTAAATTATTATGGTAATGTTTTTCTTGAATAATTTTGGAGATTGGATTGTTGGTAGTGATGAGGAAATTCTATGTCCTTTTACACAGTGCTGAGGTACCAGTCTCTGTTGTCGGAACACAGAAACCTGTTGATCCAGTTCCACCTGGAGTGTGTCTACATCAGTCTGACCTACTACGAATACCAGCCAGCCATGGAACACATCAAAAAGGCACAGGAGCTCTCAGGGCTGGATATTAACATGACTGGTATGTTTAGTACAGCAGTATCCAGTGCAGGAGAACTGATTAATCGAGTATATTTTTTTTTGAAAATGAAAGACAAGTACAGTAAAAGTTGAGGCTATCATACTGATGGTCCATACTGATCAAGAGTTAGCGGTACTGGAATTGGAGGAAATAATGGCTTGTATTTGTCAACTCAAGGTGCCCTTGGCAAACGGACCCGTTTCCAGCAGAAGCACTTGGCTCAGCTCATCCTAGAGGTCAAGAGAAAGCAGGACCAGCCTGGCCAAATGTCTGAGGCCAGTCCCGTTCCTACACCTCAGGCCTGCCTACCGAAGGTACTGTACCCCTTCTGTTGTCTTCTTTTCAACATAATGTTTTATTCACCACTTTAAACCATTTGTTGTTTTTTTTGTTGACTGTCCTTTAAAGCAATAATATGTAACTTGGCAGTTTGTCTTCCCCTACACTTGTTGAGTGTAACTAAGTTGCACCCAACTGTCATAAATACCAGTTGTGCTTTCCCCCTCCACATGGACAGAAGTACATGTGAATTTGTTTATAAGGTGAAACTGTTACTGAACTGGGAAAGAAAACAGAAGCCAGAGAATTGTAAAATAATATTACAGGATTTTATACAAATATGACTCTGGATATTTATTGTGACAAAGAAGATGAACACTCGGAATAAATGCAGATTTTTTTTTTTTTTAACTGAAATACTGCTTGTATTTTCAGAGCATTTGAATATGTGTATGTTTAGTGGAATCAAACCTTGTTGGTGACATGATATCTGCTCATATTGCACATAATATACACTGGGCAGTGTAACTGATTACAATCTAGCTGAGATGGGTTTGTTAGGCTGCAAACTTCAAAGACTTATTTGGTGTGACAGTGACAGACTTACCAAACTGTCTAGCCTGAGATGAATTTATTTATTTGGGGGATGGAGGGAGATGACTTTTTGCATCTGGAAAACACAACAAATCTGAGACAGGGGATGACAAGTATTTCATAAATAACAGTAGCAGAGATGTACACTGCTTTGGTGGTCATGCTGTTTTCATGTCATCAGATCACTACAGCTAATGTCAGGACAGTAGCTACTGTATTAACAGGGTTATTTTAGCTTTCGCCAGTGAGTAAAAGCTAGTCCAATATTTAGTCTTGTCTGGTCTCTTGCTCACTATATTTTTCTTCTTGGCTGTGGTGGGGCTCCATCGTTGCCTACTATGTAGCCTACTGCTGTGTGTGTGCTTTAACCCAAGTCCTGTTCCACAGCTTGTTCACAGTTATAGTAGGTGATTGTAGTAAATTACTAAGTCCAAACTCCCAAGGACAGCAGGACATAGTACTCTCAATGTGTAACTGGAACACCAGCATCCTTGCAACAGTCAACAAAACTCTAGAAGAAAAGGTGCAGCATCTTAAACTGTCTACTTGCTCATTAGATATTCTACCTACAAGCTTCTTAAAAAGTGTTTCCAGCTCCTTGGCAGTGGATTCGTTGTGTATTGTAAATGATGCACTCCTATCAGGCATTTTTCCAGCATCATTAATAACTGCTCTTATAAGGTCCCTCCTGAAAAAGACAAACCTGGACACTTCAGTATTAAGTAACTACAGGCCCATCTCAAATCTGATATCCTTGATAGATTTCAGTCAGCTTTCTGATCATACCATAGCACTGAAACTGCTCTCATAAAGATTTTAAATGACGTTCACTTGAATAATGTCTTGGTGCACTTAACAGTCTTGATCATATTAGATCTTAGTTCAGCATTTGACACTGTGGATCGTGAATTACTTGTAGATAGAATGAAAACTGGGCTGGACTCTTGGGACTCAATCCTCAGGTGGCTCAGATCATATTGAGAAGACGGGATACATAGTATAAGTAATGGCGAATCTGAAAGAATCACCATGAAGTACAGTGTCCCACAAGGACTAATTCTTGAACCCTTCTTATTCAATCTGTACATGCTTCCACTTTTTTGAATTTTGCAGGAATGTAGTGTTATTTCAACTCATTCAAAATGCTGCTGCTATAATACTGACAAACACAAAGAAGAGTGAACACATCACTCCACTCCTTAGATCTTTGCACTAGCTTCCAGTTAAATGCAGAATCAAATTTAATTTACTTATTGTCTACAAGTGTCTCAATGGTCTGGACCCAAAATATATCAGAGATACAGTATGTTTGCTGAGTACAAGCCTGGTAGATGTCTCAGATCTGCAGGGGCTGGTCAGCTGGTGGTGCTGAGTTCCAGCTAAACAAAGTGAAAGTGCTTTTAGCCATTACGCTTCTATTTTAGCTTTTATTTTTCATCTAATAACCAATTGACTTCATTATGCTGTTTAGCTGACTGTATAGACACTGATGTTTCAAAATTTCCAGAAAAAAAGTTCCCCCACCTCTGATGTTACAGTACTCAGAGGTAAAGGAGTATAAAATATGAGAATCAGAATCAGCTTTATTGGCCAGGTGTGTCGGACACACCAGGAATTTGACTCTGGTACATCGGCTCTCAATGTGTATGTACATATCCCCATGCAAGGGGCAACAGTAAACCAGCATAAGGCTGTGTAATATAACAAAATAAGCAGTATTAACAAGCACCAAACAGTGCAAACAATGCAGACAGACAAGGGAATGCTCATTGTGAAACGAGATAAATAAGAATAAAGTTAGAGTACTTAAAAACAGAGACCTGTACGGATCTGTATAATCTGTACGAGGTATATTTACAGGTATAGCATTGGAGCAAAGCATTGCACTGAGGGTTATTGTCCAGTCATACGGTTGTGGTGTTCATTCATAAAGTACCTACCTACCTAAAGACTAAAACAAACAGACTGAGACACAGCTTCTTCCCCAAAGCTGTGAAATCATTCACCCCCCTAACCCCCAGTCACACACGCAACCTCCCCCCCATGGACAGACACAGACAGAACAATGGACCTTTGCAGATACACACCCATGCTCACACCTCTTCCTAAAGACTGAGATTTGCACTGAGCTGCACCTTATAATGTTACTACACTCTTTTGCTGCCAACATGCTGCTGACATGATTAGGTCCCATACATCCCTTTTTATTTGCTCAGTTTTATATTGACATACAATTTGTGTTATGTAAATAATGTCTTTTAAACCGAGAGCTGCCGTAAAAAAATTTTGTTGTGCTATGCATAATGACAGTAAAGATTCTGGACTTCATCAGAGTAATGGCCTGGGAGAAGCTTCACCCCCCTAACCCCCAGTCACACACGCAACCTCCCCCCCATGGACAGACACAGACAGAACAATGGACCTTTGCAGATACACACCCATGCTCACACCTCTTCCTAAAGACTGAGATTTGCACTGAGCTGCACCTTATAATGTTACTACACTCTTTTGCTGCCAACATGCTGCTGACATGGAGGGCAGGCTTGCACCAGTGATCTTTTCTGCAGTCCTGACTGTTCACTGGAGTTTGTACTTGTCCTGTTTGGTTGCTGAGCCAAACCAGACAGGTTGAACTTCCTGAGCTGGATCAGGAAGTACATCCTCTGCTGTGCCTTCTTGATGATGGTCCTGATGTTGGACGTCCACTTCAGGTCCTGGGAGATAGTGAAACCCAGGAACTTGTAGGACTTTACTGCTGATACAGTGCTACCAAGTATGGTGGTGGTGGTGGGGAGGTTCTTCCTGAAGTCCACTGTGTACACCTCACAGGTCCTCCATGGAGGGCAGGCTTGCACCAGTGATCTTTTCTGCAGTCCTGACTGTTCACTGGAGTTTGTACTTGTCCTGTTTGGTTGCTGAGCCAAACCAGACAGGTTGAACTTCCTGAGCTGGATCAGGAAGTACATCCTCTGCTGTGCCTTCTTGATGATGGTCCTGATGTTGGACGTCCACTTCAGGTCCTGGGAGATAGTGAAACCCAGGAACTTGTAGGACTTTACTGCTGATACAGTGCTACCAAGTATGGTGGTGGTGGTGGGGAGGTTCTTCCTGAAGTCCACTGTCATCTCCACTATTTTGAGCGTGTTCAGCTCCAGGTTTTTGTGGCTACACCACAGGACCAGCTGCTCAACCTCCTGTCTATAGGCTGACTCATCACCATCTTAGATGAGACCAATAACCATTGTGTCATCTGCAAACTTTAGGAGCTTGACAGGGGGGTCCTTCGAGATGCAGTCATTTGTGTAAAGTGAAAACAGCAAAACAGACCCTAATTATCACTCCTCTACCACCAGTCTTGACAGCTGGATATGAGGTGTTTGCAGTGATATGCTGAGTTCAGCTGTCACCAAAGACGGCACTGTACATGACGACCAAACAGCTCCACTTTGGTCTCATCAGTGCAAAGGATATTGATCCACAACTACAGCAGTTTGTTCAGATGCAGTTTTGCAAACCTACGTTGTGCTGCTATATTCTTTGTGGACAGAAAGGTTAGCTTTCCTAGAAACCTTTTTGTGAAAGCCGTACCCGTTCGGTCTTTTTATAATTGTGCTGTCATGAACATAAACATTAAGTGACCTGACTTTGGACTTAATTTGCTGGGACACCCACCCCTGGAGAGAGGGGCAGCTGTCTAGAAGGCTCTTCAATTGTAAACGGTCTTTCTCACTGTAGAATGATGAATCTAAAATTGTGTGGAAGTGGCCTTATAACCCTTCCCAAATTGATGAGCAATGGCGGTTACTTCTGTTACTTCTCTGAGGCCATGGCTTATGTCCTATGTTCTCAGCATAGTGTAGACCCACACCACAGTGCTGTCAAATGTTCTGCTTTTCTGCTTCTTAATGATTGACTAATCCTGTGCATTTGATTAGTAACACCTGGCTCCTGGTTACTCTCTTAATGATTGTGTAAGGTTTCTGATAGGATACGCTCACAGTACTATGGGGACTTTGGAGAAGGAGGGCCAAGCTGCAGAACAGAAAAGAAAGTCACTCACTGGCTGGCCAGTGGAGGTGGAACAGACTGAGGAGACAGAGTAGAGGTTGGTAGTGAATGGAGGCAGTTTGTAGGACTGTGCATCGACCTGGCTGGTGGAGACTGGGAGGGCGATCAGGCGTATGGTCTGGAGATGGTAATCAATGGTAGCGGTGGTGAGGAGGAGCAGAAGAGGTGTAGCGAGGAACTGGACGAAAAGCAGGTGATAATCCAGAGTGCAAAAAAAAAGAAAACTAGTGACACAAGAGTAAAAACACAAAGAAGATCTGGAGAAAGTGGCGCAGGTAGTCGGCATGGACGCAGCGACGAACTGGCAAGAGAATGACATGTGAGCTGGGCTTAAGTAGAGTGAAGGACTAAGTGAATCCAGGTGGTGTTGATTAAGGGATGTGTGGCAGGTGTGCGATGTGGCGTAATCAGGAATCAAAAACAAAGAGAGGGAGGTGAGAGAGGCAGGTGCAGCCAGGCAAACCTGACATTTTCTGGTTTTTGAATGTTGGTTTATTTGTGGGAAACATTGACCATATATAGAATTTTTTTAATCACCTGACGTTTTGTTTTGTTTATAAAAGATGATGACCCTTTTTTTTTTTTTTTTTAAACACCTGAGAAATAAAAGCAAAGAATTGCATTGTGTAGTCTTTTTGTACCATGGTTGTAACTTTTGTTAATTTTTAAATCTGTCTCATCCTTTGTTGTGAAATTTCTTAAATATTTAATCTCCTTACACTCATTAGTGGCAACACCAGGCAGGGGGAATTCAGGAAATGCTCATTTTCTGTCTTCCTTACTTCTAACAATAATAATATTCTTAGTAGCATTGTTTTTGATAACAGAGTCTATACCACATTGTGAACAAATGCTCAAGAACTGTTGAAGACCAGCAGTATATGGACAGAAATTCACTGAATCATCTACATACATATAATGGTTAATGAGAAAAATGCCACCATACACCCTGTTCCACATCCAGTTAAATGCACTGACAGATCATTGATATAAATGTTAAAATGAAAAGGTGATAAAAGTCCTTGAACCACACTGAAAGGAACAGATAGAGGATTCCTTTTTTTTACATCCGTCATCTGATGAAAAGTAGGATTCCAAATAAAAATCTGGTAATTCCTTTTTGATTCAATTTGTAAAATATTTTTTTCATGTCGGGTATAATACCAAGCATTACAGACCCAGTAAGACAAATACTAAGCAAGAGAAGAGTTGTTTTTTTTTTTTTGTTTTTTTTTACTAACAAGCTTTAAATGTTCAGCAGTTATATTATCCATTCCACAAGCTGTATTATTAGTCCTAGTTTTATAACTGCATTGTGGATTTCTTATGGCATAACAACCACAGCCTTATTGTTTATGCTACCAACCATAAAAACAACAGCCCACATTTTGAAAGCTCTTATAACCTCAGCATATATTGTAGCTCCTCCACATAGTCATTTCAGTGCGTGTTGTCATTACACACCCTAGTCTTACATTTATAAAAAGGTTTGCTGATTAGTAAAAGCTTTTATAGGGAATCCAAAAAAACGGATTTTGTAGCATACAAAGAAAAGGATAAAGCATGCAAGAAAAAGGCATCTTCTGCTACATCCCACAGTTTAGGGTTTATATTCCAAAACATAAAGTGCTTTATACATGGCCACATGGTGGCACTCTCCACACCACAAACTAATCGGTTCATTATTTTTATTTCAGGTAAAAAGAAAAAAAAAAAACGCACACACAAAAGACAGAAACCATGAAGACATAGCTTTAGTAACAGTAGAGTAACCTCTGACTTATAGCCTCTAAGTTAGTTGTGATTAGTAGTGGTTTCATCTTGTGTATATTTTCTGAAGCTTCCCAAAATCTTTGCTGGAGTGTGTCCATTAAGCTCTTAGTCTTGTGGCTGTGGCTCCGCTCCAGTCCTGCTCTGCTCAGACCACTAATACCCTCATTACTGGAGTAGGGGAGTAAATGGGCTCAATCAAGGCTGTCATTAACCAGATCTCACTGGTTTCCTGTCTAGAATGGACAGAATGAAAGCAGAGGGATGAAGAAGGAACTCTTCACTGGCCAATCAAAACCCCTGCCAAAAGGGAAACGGGGCCATTTCTGTTGCTGTGTGTCTGACTAGACTTGGAAGACGTGTGTTATTCTAATGAAAGCAAGTCCAGTCCAGAGATTGTGTTGCTGGTGCCAAACCATGTTGTCACAGCGTAGGGTTTGATTGCTTTTGCTCTTTTTGTATCAACACATTTGCCAAGTTTACACCAGAGGAATGCACTTGACTGCCACTGAGCGTCATGCAATGTTCAGTCTTAAAGCTCTGAATAACTCACATTAATGGTGGTGTCTAGGTGCAGCCTATTTACAATCTGACTCATCTAATTATGCAAACACAATCCAAGGTTAAGGTGACTTTCTGATTTTGTTTTCCACAAATCCCATGCATGAATTTTGTGGACTTACTGTAATGTCTGTGAATCCAGAGCCTGGCTTAGCTGATTTGTCTCTGCCCTAGATGTCTTTTGTTGTCTAAAAACTATTTAAAACACACCAGTGAGCCACACAGCTGCACCAAGTGAAATGTTTCTTCCTCACACATAGTGTGACCTTTTTATAAAAAAAAAAAAAAAAAAAGGTTTAGGAACGGCCATCATTTTTACAGCCTCTGGATTTAGTCAACTGTGCATGTGTGTGATCTCTGCATATCTCTGTGTATGGGTGTACACATCCATATGTTTCCATGCCTACAGGACTGCAGTCTGGGTGATGACACCGTGTTGGATAAGCTCAATTTAGCGGAGCCAGATCAATACAAGCTGCCTGACCTCAGTGCAGAGGAGCAGGCTGTTATCCTGGGCGTCTGGTAAGTCCATTACTGAACTGAAAAAACTTTGGATAGTCTTACAGAAACTTGAGGGTTATAGGGTTATCTGTTACATGTCAAAAAATTACCCCCAAAGCCTGGAGAGTGAAATCATTTCTCCCCATCCTGCACACCACTTTAGAACCAATGAACCCTTCACTTCATTCTGCTTAAGCATAAATGTCATATTCATAAGTCCTTTTACTTGATATGTCATTCTAACTTTGCTAGCATCTTTGACAAGAGAGGGTTATTTATTTTATCCATGCCTTTTCTACATGGTCAATCACATATCCATTAACTTGGTCAAGTCGGATAAATGTCCTCACGTGATGTCACTTGAGTGTTCGGTTGGGTCTGAAAATGAAATAACTCTGGGGACTGGAGTTAGAAAGAAGTGAGCTTACCAGATTGTTGTTACATGACCTCTACCAGCATAACCCACCAAAATGTTAGACCAAGCTGTCAGTAGTCATGCTGCATTGTGGGTAATGTAGGCGTCAGGTTTTTACAAGGAAGAAGAATGTAAAATAATTTAGAGGCTATATCTGGTTCTGCTGCACCGACCTTGATACGACTTAAACGGTCAGTAGCGAGCCTTGCGGATAATGCTGTATAAGTATGGTAAAATATAATGACGTCCTTTGTATGGTGAAAACGAGAATGCATGATTCAGTTTATCATGTAACCTCATTCTTGACCTTGGCAACAGTTTGACCAAATAGGCTCAACGCAAGGTTCATTTACTGTACTAGATTGTTTTTATCTCTCAGCTGTAGAACACACGTTTCCTCAGTTGTCATGGAATTTTACATTTTTGAGAACTTTTAGTACAGTCCGTTTGTGTTCACTTAAAGGTTGGTTATAAAATTCACACAACCTTGAAAAAGGCAATTTGACAATCTAATATCAACTCACGGTTTACATGGTTTACTTGCATGATCTGGAGTTTTCCACTGATGAAGACTGTGATAGCACTGACAGCCCAGGAATTAGTTGGTAATTGGACACTGAACTCAAGTTCTCTACTTTAACAGAGCAGTGCCGCATATTTTACACCCACTTTCTTCTGATGTTAAATTTCAACTGCATTTCCATCATCACCTTCGGGAGAAAGCGGGTGTAAAATTTGCGGCACTGCTCTCAGCGTGGCAGTCGTTAGTCATCTGAGATCTGGTTGGAGTTGAGACCTTGTCTGAGGAAGGAGAGGTTTGTTTGCATCACCAGAAGAGAATGTGAGAAGCTTTTACAGGCTTTCAGGGCCATGCTTCAATTACTGAACTGTAAAGATGATTTGACTGGCAGGAGACTACGTGATCACAGCTCCAAAATATGTTTGCCAAATTTCTTTAAGTTCAGTCGCAGCAAACACTTTCTTCTGCTCTATTTTCTGTGCCTGATGGCAATTTGTGACAGGTTTAGTAAACATCCATTTGGTCTCAGGCTACACCTGGTGCTTCTCCCTGGTCATTAGGATCCAGGTGTCGGTTACAGATGGCTCAGGTATCCTCTAATGAAGACAATACATGATTGGATTATGAGAAAGTGGGTCCTGGAGACAGGCATGTAAAAGTCTGTTACATTCTGCTTTGCATTAATTTGAATTAATTTTGTCACTCTTTTGTACTTTTTTGTCTGTTTGTGGGATTTTTCTCCTTCACCAGTCTGATTTAAGTAAATCACATGATCCCGGCTGAGCAGAAGTAGAGTCTTCCTTTGTGTCTGGTTGTAAAGAAGAGAGATGTAATGAATAAGATTTGTGTGTAATAATGGCAGTGCCTACCCAGGATCAGCATGGTATGCCAAGAGATTCCTGTAAAACTAGAAAAATATGTGGGTTTCTCACACGCACATATTCACACACTTTGAGAAGGAGAGTTTTCTACCATACAAGCCAACCTCCTGACAATCAGGTTTATAAGCACATTGTATAGATTTGCAAGCTCCAGAAATCCCTTTTATAGCTGAACCTATAGGCTCCTTCGGCCTTTTGTCCTCTGTCTGACTCCTGTCCATTTTAATGTATTGGCCAATAAGGGCTGGTTGGAGGGTGGAGTGTAAATGGGATAAGTTGGAGGATACGTCTTGTATTTTATCAGTCTGGCAGATTGTGTTTGTGTTTAACAGAAAAAATGTAAAGGTATGCTGGTAATTATTGCACCCAATCTCCCTGAAATCCAAATTCTTGAAAAGGAGTCGGTGTCCTTAAGCGAAAGGCTCCGTTTCTGGCAGCACCTGCGGTGATTCCATCAAAGCTTACTGTATTTAATCTTGGTGCACTTTTCACAAATGTCACTGTCCGTCAGACATTTGGTCCAACGCTTTTGGCCAACACTATATTATCTCAACAACTGTGGGATGGAATGCTGTGATATCTGGTCCAGATAATCATAATCCCTATAGAATATTTTATACTCATCAATTTATTAACTGATACTAATAATATTTCATCAGAGTCAGTAATTAATGTTGTGGCTGAGTCCAAAGACAAGAGCCATCCATTTTTTGCAGGGCTATTTTTTTCACTGTATTACTGTCTTTTGAGAAAGATGGTTGTCTTGCAGCACTGAGTTCCAGAAGAGTAACCCTGTGCACAAACTGACAGAAGAGGAACTCCTAGCCTTCACATCTGTAAGTAATTGTTTATTACTCTGTGATCAACATTTTGTATTTCTTTTAACAGGGTAGTTATACAATTAGAATTTTTGAACGATTGATTGAACAGATTTGAATGCTTTTACAGTTCAAGGTTTTTCCTTTAACTCACCAGTCATATGTACTCATTTGGCCATTTATTAAGTACAGCCTGATAAAACTAAATCAGTCTAATACAGCAGTCCTGCAATAAATGATGATGGGGTTTTGTTCAGTTTTACAGAGGTGTTGATTCAATTGTATGATCATATTAGAGGGTGTAAGCTGTGGTGAGATTGAGCTTTACTTTTCAGACTGGTCATACAGTAAGTAACACTGCTGGCTCCATTCATCTGTTAAAGTGACGGTACATTAATCTTACTCATGACTTCACTCAGACATGACAGAACAATTACAGAAAGAGCAATGTGCTGGCCTGATATTTGGAACAGAGAGAGAGAGAGAGGCTTCCACATGAGTTTCATAATTTAACATTAATTCTGTTGCTTTTTGACAATATTCTACAATACACTACATAAGCACTGAATGACAGGACATTACGTTGAGACACTTGCGTAATTGGTGGTTGCTTATATGCTGTATTTATTCATCCATGCAGTGGACATGAATGTAGGGAGAGACTGTTGGTCGGCTTTTTCCTGTCGTGTGAGGGGTTTTTAACCTCTTTTGCACTGATCATGCTGCAAAGGGAAATTGTTTCTCATAACCATTTTAGCAATGTTTAAACTAACACTGTATAAAAGGTTCAATATAATAAATTAATTACAGTATTCTTAGGATGTATTCACCCTAGGGATTGGTTGACTCGTACCGTCCCCGAGCACAATTGTCCTCCCCTCCCTCCTCCTCCGCTGACCTGCACTCACACTGCAGTTGAAATGATCTTGGCTGGATCACGCTTACGTCACTGTGAAGAGAAGTGCTCTGGCATAGTGTTGGTGTTCCGTGCCTGGGCACAGCTAGCAACCTCTCTATGCGTACCATGCCCAAGTCCAACCAGCTGTGTCCAGGCCCACCTTATCCAAGCGTGCCAGGTCACGGTACACTGAACCAGGCCTGGGCACGGCATGGAATGATCACATTAGTCAAACAAACTGGACTGTGGTCTCAAACATGGTTGGACATGGTACAGATTGCTTAGTGTGACTACATGCTTAGAAGACAGAACTACTGTGGATGCAGATTTCTGTTTTCTGCAGCTTTTACTTTAATGTGATGACGTTCACTTCAGACTTGTGGCATGTTGATAGTATTATAGAAATTTTACTCTGTCTGACCTGTTGTGACTTTGACATAAACATGACCATAGTGCTTATTCAAATATGATACCAACTTTGTTAATCAGCCATCTGAATAATGTAAATGGAGCTTGTCTACGTTACATATGCAACATATTTTAACAGCACCACAAACTAAATCCTCTTAAATGACCATTAAGTTGAATCAATATTTTTTTAAAATAGGTCCAAACAAAAATGATCTATAAATAATGTTATATTCTAAATAAAATGTAACATTATCTTTTAAAAACCTTTATAAAAGTATGATTTATTGCAGAGTTGATGTGATACTCTGCATTAGTTTAATAGTAGTTGTACCTAATAAAGTGGCAAGTGAATATTCAAGAGTTTTACTCGGCATATTTATAATTTAGTAGCAATATTTTCCTTTCCCCTGCAATGATTAGTAAACAACTGTAATGCTAAACTGAGGCCAACTATTAGTGCTTCACAGGCAAACTAAAGACCACATCCAAACTCAAGCCAGTGTGCAGAACTGAAGAAATGAGTCATCTAAAGGAGAACTGCAAGAAAGCTGAGCAAGTGAAGTACCAACGCCTTAAATCCATGTTGACAACCTCAAATACCACCTCACTGTTTTTATGAAAGCAGTTTTCTTACTAACTTCAAGCTGCTTGTCAGGTAGTTCCTCAATGCCAGTGAAATATCAACTATCATGGAACATTTACTAACCTCACTGGCTATTTTTCTCTGTCCATGGTTCATTGTGAGATAATCGTTCTCTTTAGGCTACAGCTTCAGACAGTATTTGATCTGACAATCAGACAAAATAAAGCATGACAATACAACCCCAAATCAGAAAACATTGGGACAGTATGTAAAATCAAATTAAAAATGAAAATAGTGATGTGTAAATCCTCTGTGTCCTGTATGACATTGAAAACAACACAGTAGCACAATATTTGACAATATTGACAACGCACTATTTTTGTTCAAACTAAACACTCACTTTGATTCTGATGCTGCAGCACATTCCAAAAAAGTTGGGATAGTGAAGTATTTACAGTACCACGGTGTGATGCTGCTGTTCCTTTTCATGACACTTAAAAGCCGTTTGGCGACTGAGGACACCAAGTGATTCAATGTGTCAGGTGTCATTTTGTCCCATTCTTCCTGCAAACAAGTCTTAAGGTCCTCAACAGTCCTGGGTCTTCATTGATGCAATTTGTATTACAAAGTGTGCCACACATTCTTTATAATGGGGATGGGTCAGGTCCAAACTAGCTATTTAGATTTGTGTTATTGCTCATCTACTTTATATTTCACTTGTGGTTTTTTTGCATTCATGTAGACGGCAAAGTAAGAATTTCATTGTACAGGGAAACACGTTTCCTAACTGTGCATATGACAAACACTTTGACCTTTGACCTTGACCTCTGTCTTGTCCATGTTGAGGCTGAGATTATTGTCCTTGCACCTTGACACCAGACCGGCCACCTCCCTCCTGTAGGCTGCTTCGTCCCCGCCAGTGATGCGACTATTCAGGCTATTCAGACCTATACAGTTTGCTTAATGTGCTTGGAACTCTGTTGGACTTTTGCAGTTGATACCAAGCTTTTTCTTTGACTACTCTGATAATGCACCAATCAAATTACAATGTATCAAGAGCCCACGCCAACTGAAGAACACCAGTGTAGCAGAACTGTCACTGAACCACATAAACACAATTTGACTTTCTTCTACTGCGAAACCAAAGAACCAGTATGTGAACCTGTTGCCCTCAGGCTCAGGTGAAAGTGAGGTCCTGTTATCGTGATCAGGACTTCTGATCCACAGTTATCATCCCATGTACCACATGAAAGAGCAGCGTTGTGTACATTTTGTCACAGCTGTTATTTCCCATCACCATAAATTTGAAACCTAAGCTGAAAATTGCTGAATAGTGCCAGACAAGCCAGACTCCTTTTTGCAACAGCTATGAGCTTGTTTGAAGACTCTCCCCATCGTAGTGCAGTAACAGGATAGCTCACTTGGCTGATCCACTGAGTGTCCTCTGTAAACATTGCGAGGGATCAAGCTGCAGAGAGCACTTGGCAGGGCAGAGCATTTAAAAAAAAAAGACAGTCTTGAAGCTAACCTGGGTTTTTGCCTTCTGCCAGAATTTTTCTTTTAGCTACTAAAATGAAAAAAATAATTAATCTGGGAACATAAACAAATGTTAGCTTCCTGGTTGCATAGTGACATTTGTACAAGCAGAGTTTTCTCTTTGCTTTAAGAACATACATGTATGCAGCTCTTTCTGCCTATTAATACAGTACATAATGGGACTTTCTCATAATTACGATGCTGTAAAATGGTGTCACATACGCTACCGTGCAAAATTCTTAGGCCACCATTAGTTTTGCTGTTTTAGCAAGGTTGTAATGATCATTTTTAGCACTATTCCTAAAAATCCTATACACATTTTGAGTTATCAGACTGGTGCATATAGCTGTACAGTTTACAATTATTGCACTGTGGTGGGGTGGGTGGGGGAGTTCTGTTGTTGTTCACAGTAGCGGGGGATGGTTTACTGTAGTTAGTGATGTTTTTCAGGCTTCTCCCCACAGATGTGCCAACATCACCTGTCTCTCACCCGGTAGGTCGGGGATCTTAAGTTCACCCGTGAACTTTTTTCATTCATGTTCTGATTTGATGGACCTCACGCGGGCCGGGCAGGGATGCCCAAAGGGCCGGATGTGGCCCGCGGGCCGTAAAATGCCCAGGTCTGATATACAGGATGGTGTCCTCACTTTTGTAGGCCTCTTCTTTGGCACAACAGAGCTGCTTGAGTTTTACTGTGAACCAGGGCTTGTTGTTGTTGTATGTACAGAAGGACTTGTTGGACACACACACATCCTCATAAAAGCTGGTGTATGATGTCACAGTGTCAGTAAGTTCATCTAGGTCTGTACAGTAATTGCAGTTTCAAAAACACTACAGTCTATACAATCAAAACAGGCCTGTAGCTTTGACTCGGCCTCCTTGGTCCATCTCTTTGCTGTTTTGACCACAGGCTTCACAGCTGTAAGTTTCTGCCTGTATGTTGTTATAAGATGGGCCATGCAGTGATCAGAGAGACTGAAAGCTGTTCCGTACTAGTTATCTGGTCAGCTAGGTGCTAGCTATTAGTTCTTATTCTTTTTTCACATTAAACTTACATGTACAGGCAGATAAACAAAGTGTTCACACAGTTTAAATTATATTTAACTTGGAAACCTGTAAATATTTCTTTGCCCCAAACTAGTAACTAGTATCTTACTCTAATTCCAGTGTCCTGGTGTCTGACCAGTAAGTCCAACATATAGTCAAGAGAAAGTCATGGCACTGTTTGCAGTTTCCTGGTTTTCTGCATAATTTGGTCATGAAATGTGATCTAATCTTGACCAAAGTCACAAATATCAAGAAACACAGTATTTCTAAGATGATAAAAACAAACAATCACGATCTTTCATGTCATTACTGAACACACCCTTTAAATAAAGTGATGGACAACTTCTCATGTCATAAAGCGTCAGCTAGAGCCAGGTGTTAGCAAACCTGGAGTCCAATCGGTGAAAGTAGAATGGAGGTGTAGTTTAGAAAAACCATGACTTACGAAGTGTTCAGACAGTGTCTGTGAGATGTGCGTCTCCCGTAAACATTTCACTTTCTCCTTCTGTAATGGCCCGGGGAAATCTGTAAATTCACAGGCTA